CAATGTTAATCGCTATCTACTGTCTTCCTGATTTATCATTATCATCATCCTTTTATCTTTCTATGCTTGGTCGGAACTGCATTGACAATCCCTTTCTACACTGTTCAGTCCTGTATTTGATCTCTCTATGCTTGGTCGGAACTGCATTGACAATCCCTTTCTACACTGTTCAGTCCTGTATTTGATCTCTCTGTGCTTGGTCGGAACTGCATTGACAATCCCTTTCTACACTGTTCAGTCCTGTATTTGATCTCTCTATGCTTGGTCGGAACTGCATTGACAATACCTTTCTACACTGTTCAGTCCTATATTTGATCTCTCTATGCTTGGTAGGAACTGCATTGACAATACATTTCTACACTGTTCAGTCCTGTATTTGATCTCTCTATGCTTGGTAGGAACTGCATTGACAATCCCTTTCTACACTGTTCAGTCCTGTATTTGATCTCTCTGTGCTTGGTCGGAACTGCATTGACAATACGTTTTCTACACTGTTCAGTCCTATATTTGATCTCTCTATGCTTGGTAGGAACTGCATTGACAATCCCTTTCTACACGGTTCAGTCCTGTATTTGATCTCTCTGTGCTTGGTCGGAACTGCATTGACAATCCCTTTCTACACTGTTCAGTCCTGTATTTGATCTCTCTGTGCTTGGTCGGAACTGCATTTACAATCCCTTTCTACACTGTTCAGTCCTGTATTTGATCTCTCTGTGCTTGGTCGGAACTGCATTGACAATCCCTTTCTACACTGTTCAGTCCTGTATTTGATCTCTCTATGCTTGCTCGGAACTGCATTGACAATACGTTTTCTACACTGTTCAGTCCTGTATTTGATCTCTCTATGCTTGGTCGGAACTGCATTGACAATCCCTTTCTACACTGTTTAATCTTGTATTTGATCTCTCTATGCTTGGTAGGAACTGCATTGACAATCCCTTTCTACACTGTTTAGTCTTGTATTTGATCTCTCTATGCTTGGTCGGAACTGCATTGATAATCCCTTTGTTCAGTCCTGTATTTCTGTCGCCCGATCCGCAATGTCGAATCCCGAGTCCCAAACTATGGTGACTGGGAAAGTAAATTTGATAAATTCGTTAGGTTACCTAGACTGTATGAAATTAAGTGCAATACTTGACTGGCGGTGAGATCTCATCAATTTACAGTTGAGATAGCTAGATGTAGCCGTAACTTCAACGCTAAAAAGCTTCTTTTTTCGCAATTCTCGCCTGTGGAAACTTCCTTCCGGTTCCATGCCTTCTAGCCAACTTTAATCTGTAAGAATTTAAATGCAATGCCAATCGCTATCTACTGTCCTTCTGAATGTTCTTTTCTCTTTCTATTCATTACTAATGTTTCTGTTCCCAATTTCTCCACACTCTGTAACCCCTTGTGTTTTAGTGGCTAAACTGTTTTGCTTGAGATGACACTGATTAAAAAAATGACCCATAAGGTGTTGATATGTCGCTAAACAATCTTCAAGATCATTTCTCTTGCTTTTATTTACTGGTTTTTGCTTATCTAAAGTTAGACTCATCAAAATTTGTTCCACTTTTAATTATTTTATCAATTGATAGTTTATTATCGATTTACCAACCTCCCCACAAGGAAAGATATGGCACAAGGCCAGTTTTTAACATGGGGCGTTAAGATTTCCCGTATACCCCATATACACGGTGTTGGGTTTGTCTACCTCCCAAGCGAGACTCTGCACTTCGGCAGAGCCTCGTCTGCGTTCCTCTCTCTACCAACTTCCCCACAAGGCAAGATATGGTAGAAGGTCAGTTTTTAACGTGTAGCTTTCCAAGACCGTAGGCTCGGGCAAAAATTGTCGTAGACCCCGTATACACGTGGTCGGGTTTGTCTACCTCCCCAAACGGGATTCTGCCCTTCGGCATAGCCTCATCTGGGTTCCTCTCTATCGGAGGCAGAGAGTTCGACAACAGTGGAAGAGAACCTGTTAGGTGTTAGTACTATCAAAAAAAGTAGTACAGATCAGCGGTCGCCAAACTTTTTTTTAACTAGAGCCGCGTTCGAATCACTGGTATAGATTCATTTTAATGTTGTAAGCAACAATGCCATAATCTCCGTGTATTTCAGGCTCATATCCCGAATTATATTTTTCTGTTTCTTTTTGCTACCTTTTCCCCATGGCCGCATTTATTTTATCCTTCCCCTCTCTCTTAGCGAGAGAGCCACTTGATTTTGTCTAAAGACAGAATACAGCGGTCTCTCTTAAATCTTTCTTGAGTGTCTTGACGGCTTCAACTAATTTAAGTTACCTTTATTTTGTACATTTGTTTAATATTTTTATTTTGTTTTTAAGGTTCATAATTTTTCACACCATCATTACGTATCATGCACAGATTTTACATGCTAATTACATTTTTTTTTATATAATGGGGTACGTTTTGTAGCTTCCGTGAGTGTATGTGGTACTATAGTATATGGAAGATTGAAAGATGATGGATGACTTCTTGTGGTGGATATGCCAATTGTAACGAGTCGGTGGGTCGTGAATCTGATTAGCTAGGTATAAGATAGTAAGTGATTAACCCCTTTTAGGTCTTGTGCCGCAATTGTATTATAATAAATCTTGGCTAACTTGTTCCACAGTCATCAAATTTTTCAGTCTTTTTTGTTTGCTTATTTACGTACAACTATTTTGTTATTTGCTTCGCATTCTTGGCTTGAGTTTCAAAAATTAATTTTTAGTTTGATTTATTTTGATTACAAATTTTTTATTCGTATTCTTATTCCAGTTCTTATTCTTATTCTTATTCTTATTCTCGTTCTTATTCTTGTTGTTCTTATTCTTGTTGTTCTTATTCTTGTTTTTATTTTGTTCTTGTTCTTGTTAATATTCTTATTCAAGTTTTTATTCCTATTCTCATTCTTATTCTTATTGTACTTATTCTTATTTTTGTTCTAATTCTTATTGTTCTCGTTCTTATACTTGTTCTTATTCTTATTCTTGATTTTATTCTTATTCTTATTGCCCCATTTCTTATTCTTATTCTTATTGTTATTCTACTTCTTTTTGTTCTCATTCTTGGTCTTGTTCTCATTCTTATTCTTATTGTTCTTATTCTTGTTCTTATTCTTCTTGTTCTTATTCCTGTTCTTCTTATTCTAAGTCTTATTCTTGTTCTTAACTTATACTTATTCTTATTCTTCTGATTCTTATTCTTGTTCTTATTCTTTAGTATTCTTATTCTTATTCTTGTTCTTTTTCTTATACTTATTCTTATTCTCATTCTTATTCTTGTTCTTAATGTTCTTATTCTTATTGGTCTTTTTCTTATTCTTAACATTCTCATTCCTATTCTTGTTCTTATTCTTATACTTATTATTCTCATTCTTATTCTCATTCTTATTCTTGTTCATATTCTTATACTTATTATTCTTATTCTTATTCTTGTACTAATTTTTATTCTTGTTCTTATTTTCTTATTGTCTTTATTCTTATTCTTGTTCTTATTCTATAGTATTCTCATTCTTATTCTTGTTCTTATTCTTATAGTTATTCTTATTCGCATTCTTATTCTTGTTCTTAATGTTCTTATTCCTATTGGTCTTATTCTTATTCTTAACATTCTCATTCCTATTCTTGTTCTTATTCTTATACTTATTATTCTCATTCTTATTCTCATTCTTATTCTTGTTCATATTCTTATACGTATTATTCTCATTCTCATTCTTGTTCTTATTCTCATTCTTTTTATTCTTATTCTTATTCTTGTACTAATTTTTATTCTTATTCTTATTCATGTTCTTATTGTCTTCATTCTTATTCTTGTTCTTATTCTTCTTATTCTTATTCTCATTCTTATTCTTGTTCTTAATGTTCTTATTCTTATTGGTCTTATTCTTATTCTTAACATTCTCATTCCTATTCTTGTTCTTATTCTTATACTTATTATTCTCATTATTATTCTCATTCTTATTCTTGTTCATATTATACTTATTATTCTTATTCTTGTTTTTATTCTCATTCTTTTTATTCTTATTCTTGTACTAATTTTTATTCTTGTTCTTATGTTCCTATTGTCTTCATTCTTATTCTTGTTCTTATTCTTTAGTATTCTCATTCTTATTCTTGTTCTTATTCTTATAGTTATTCTTATTCGCATTCTTATTCTTGTTCTTAATGTTCTTATTCTTATTGGTCTTTTTCTTATTCTTAACATTCTCATTCCTATTCTTGTTCTTATTCTTATACTTATTATTCTCATTCTTATTCTCATTCTCATTCTTGTTCATATTCTTATACGTATTATCCTCATTCTCATTCTTGTTCTTATTTTCATTCTTTTTATTCTTATTCTTATTCTTGTACTAATTTTTATTCTTGTTCTTATTCATATTCTTATTGTCTTCATTCGTATTCTTGTTCTTATTCTTATTCTTGTTCTTATTCTTGTTCTTATTCTTATTCTTGACGTTGAATGACATTCATTGTATGCCTTTTTTCACACTTTTTTAAAACTGCCTCACAGGGGATTATTTTATGAGATATATTTACCAAATCGCATTTACTTATTCATACAGGGTGCGACAGAAATACCTCCCACATAAAAATATATTATTACAATCTAAAATGATTTTCTGGCTTTAAGTAACCCACAAAAGGTTGTTAAGTCGTAAAAAAGCAATTTTTTACTCTCATTTATTTTATCTGTTGACAGTTTGGGCGTTATTACTGTCAAATAAAGTAATATTGATTATTTTTGATGTTGTAAACAATGAGCCGTTCTTGGACGGTTATCGAAATTAAGCAACGTCGAGTCTGGTCAGTTCCTAGATGAGTGACCACTTTGCAATATCAGGTGTGTAAGCTTGGGTGTGCGGGTGGTATGGCTTATAGTTATATTACGTTGAATCACCGGGACCCGTATCATCATCGAAATTAAGCCACGTCAAACCTGGTCAATGCCTAGATGGGTAACCACTTGGGAATATTAGGTGTTGTACGCTTGGATGTACGGTTGGCATGGTTTGCAATAATATCACGTTGAATAACCTGTTCTCTTACTAGCACCAAAGTTAAGCAATGTCGTGCCTGGTCAGTACCTAGATGGGTGACTACTCGGGAATACCTAGTGCTGTAAGCTTGGATGTAGTGTAATGGATAATGACTTGGAATTTGTAATCGAGGAGTCGAGTTCCAATTCCAGTAGGATTCGTTATATTCACTTACGGGCAAATATCCTTAGGAATGGTGTGAATTCACCTCTTCTCTCCATACTATAGGTTAATTAGTAAACATTATATGACTAAACAATTATTATCTCCCCCTCCTCAACAACGTTTTTACAATTTAAATATATTTTTTGGCTTTAAATAACCTAGAAAGTGTTGATAACCTGTAGAAAACGAATCAATCAACAACCTCGTTAGTTAGGTGATGCACTGATTTCCGCTCTCCCTCTTGCCTTCAATAGGTGCTGTCAGTGTCAAATATCCATGCCTTCTTTCCTCATTATGCGATCTAGGAATTTCGACTGTCTCTTACTGATTTTAAGTATGTGTCCTTTTTGTTTCCATTTTCCTTAAAACTTCCTCGTTGTTTACATGTCAACTAATGGTACTCTCAGCATGCTCACAAGTCAGTCTATGATATTCTCATCATCCTTCTGTAGAACCACATTTCTCTTGCTTCAAGTCTCTTTTTCATGTTCGATCCATGGTATTCTCTTTTCCTGATGTTAAGTATAAGTGTCCTTTTTGTTTCCATTTTCTCTAAAACTTCGTCGTTGCTCACATGTTTGGTCCATGGTATTCTCAGCAGGCTTCTGTAGAACCACATTTCTCTTGCTTCAAGTCTCTTCTTCATGTTCGATACATGGTATTCTCTCTTCCCGATGTTAAGTATAAGGGTCCTTTTTGTTTTCATTTTCTCTAAAACTTCCTCATTGCTCACATGTTTGGACTACGGAATTCTCAGCATGCTTCTGTAGAGCCACATTTCTGTTTCTTCAAGTCTCTTCTTCATGTTCCATCCATGGTATTCTCTCTTCCCGATGTTAAGTATAAGTGTTCTTTTTGTTTTCATTTTCTCTAAAACTTCGTCGTTGCTCACATGTTCAGTCCATGGTATTCTCACCATGCTTCTGTAGAATCAAAATTCTGTTGTTTCAAGTCTCTTCTTCATGTTCGATCCATGGTATTCCATCTTCCTGATGTTAAGTATAAGTGTCCTTTTTGTTTCTATTTTCTTTAAAATTTTGTCGTTGTTCACATGTTCGGTACATGGCATTCTCAGCATGCTTCTGTAGAATCATTTTTCTGTTGCTTCAAGTATCTTCTTCATGTTCCATCCATGGCATACAATTCTCATCATCCTTCTGTAGAACCACATTTTTATTGCCTCAAAACATTTCTTAATCTGCTTTATAGGAGAACGGATATTACATAGTTCAGTACTCATTTCTTTGTTTAGAATGAAATTTTCCTGTTTCCTGATACTTGACTAAGTTTGCTTATTTTTGCTATTCAAATGTCGGAATTTCCCGTCCTCTGTGAAAACATTTCTTAGATATTTAAAGTGTTGTACTTGCTTGATTCTGGTATCTCCACTTTGTATTTGTCACTTGTATGTAATTGAACAAGAAGAGATACTTGCTGCTCCCCAGCTAGAGTTGGTTAACTTGCTACGAAAAACAAGGATCAATAACCCCTAACTCGACACTTAGCAGCATAAGATCGACCCATTATTTTAAGTTCTGTGGATGTTTTTTTTTCGTTTTACGGCATATCAACGCCTCAATGGGTCATTTAATGCGAACAGCCTTTTTTTTTCTGGTAATAGTTTTGTTTTGTCAAAAATCTATTTCTGTTAATATTTTTTCCTCAAAAATGTATAGGTGGTAATATCATTTTTTCAAAAACGTAAATCTGTTAATATTATTTTATCAAAAACGTATAGCTGGTATTATTATTTTTTCAAAAACGTAAATCTGTTAATATTATTTTTTCAAAAACGTATAGCTGGTAATATTATTTTATCAAAAACGTATAGCTGTTAATATTATTTTTTCAAAAACGTATAGCTGGTAATATTATATTTTCAAAAATGTATAGCTAGTAATATTATTTTATCAAAAACGTATAGCTGGTAATATTATTTTATCAAAAACGTATAGCTGGTAATATTATATTTTCAAAAATGTATAGCTGGTAATATTATTTTTTCAAAAACGTATAGCTGGTAATATTATATTTTCAAAAACGTATAGCTGGTAATATTATTTTTTCAAAAACCTATAGCCGACAACACTATTCTTTAAAAAAAAAACTAAAAAAACATGTAGCTAGTAATATTATTTTTTCGAAAACGTTCAGCTGGCAACATTACTTTTTCGAAAACGTATTATCAGAAGCCTTGTTATTGGACGTAGTTTATAGTCTTACCCTGGACGCGGATGTAGTTTATCGTCATACCCAGGACGCTAAGTTCCGTGGAATCTGGTTTATTAATAATTCAATATTATGTCATTGCAGAGTCGTTTCTGTTCAACGGACAATAGGGGAAAAAAACATCGACTCTCCAACATCGACCTTAAACAACCCACAAGTGGTTGATAAACCGTAAAAATGCAATCAATAAACTTCTCAAGCCATCAGATATCTGAATTACAAGGCTGGGAGGAATCATAGATCTGTCTTTGTGTTGTTTAGCTAGTGTATCAGAAAACTAGATGAGAATGACTAGCGAGGGGACATAGCACGAGAAGAGATGGATTCTTGTCTTTCGTATATGAATTGACTTGGGTGGAACTCTTCTGATTTCATTTCCACGAGAATAGAAATTAAATGATGTAAAGAAAGAGAAAATGGTGAAAGAAAGAAAGAAAGAAAGAAAGAAAGAAAGAAAGAAAGAGGAAGACGAAGATTTGGGAATTAAATTATAGTAAGAAATAAACGAAAAGAAAGAAAGAAAGAAAAAAGAAAAAAAAAGAAAGAAAGAAAGAAAGAATGAGGAGGAGAAAATAAAAAGAAAATAAGAATAAGAGGATGACGAAAAAGATGAAGAAGAAAAAATTGCATAAAGAAAAATAGGAAGAATAAAGAAAGGAAGCAACATAAAAAAAAAAGAAAAAAAACGAACTCAATTTTGGAAAGTAAGAGTCAACGGTGAAGGAAAGAAAAAGAACGTAACATAGAAAGAAAGAAAGAAAGAAAGAAAGAAAGAGGATTAAAGAAAGAAAGAGGATTAAAGAAAGAAAGAAAGAAAGAAAGAAAGAAAGAGGATTAAAGAAAGAAAGAAAGAGGATTAAAGAAAGAAAGAAAGAAAGAAAGAAAGAGGATTAAAGAAAGAAAGAAAGAAAGAAAGAAAGAGGACTAAAGAAAGAAAGAAAGAAAGAAAGAAAGAGGATTAAAGAAAGAAAGAAAGAAAGAAAGAAAGATAGGTAGAAAGGTTAGTAGAAAAATAATAGAAAGAAAGGTCAAAAGAAACTGAAAATCGGTAAAAATAAAAAGAAAAGAATATATAAAAAAAGAAATAAAAACGAAATCAAATTATGAAAAAAAAAAAGATAATGCAAAATAAAGAAAAAAAAAGCATAAATCAGTGAAGAAAGAAGAACGAAGGAAAGAAAGCGACGTAGAATGAAAGAAAAAAGAGTGTAAAACTAAGAAGGAATATTGAATATCAAATTTCGGGAAGACGAAAGACTGAACGAAAGAACAAAGATTTTAAGAAACGATAACAAAATCGTAAATCATAGAAAAAACAAAAACAAAAACAAAAACAAAAAAACGAACAAGGCCGAACTCATGAAAAGAAAGAAATAGAAAAACGCGATAAAAGATGTGAAGAAAGAAAAACAAAATAAATGAAGAAAAGGAAGAAAAAGAAGAAGAAGAATGAAAGACAGGAACGAATTGTGAAAAAAAATAAAAAAATAAAAATAAGAAAAGAAAATTCGATAATTAAATTATGGGTGAAGAATGGCTGAAGACAGTCATAAGAGAGCAATCCCAGGCAGAAAAGGAATAGGGGAGATTATAAAAGGAAGAACAACAAAAAAAAAAAAAAAAAAAGAAAGAAAAAAAAAAACTCAAGCCGATTTTTTTTCTGTTTTTATTCATCCGCCACAAGCAAGCCGGCCACGCCCATCTTCGCATTTCACCGCTGTACCCTGAGGATGTCCCTTTGAAGTTGTTGGCTATGGCCACCTGAGCCAGATACAATCAAATGAAGCAGAATCTATTCAATTCTTTTGCTTAGCGACGTCAATACTGTCGCCATCTCCATGGGGCGGGAAGATGGGGAAATCTTACCTGTGTTCATGCTTCTTTGACACTAGTCACGCGAAAAAATGTTTATGGTGCAGGAGAACCATTCCCCCCCCCACCTCCACACACACATTCTTTCATTTTTCCGATTTGCTTAGGACAAAGATGGCAATTGAGAATTTAGCAAAAGAAAAAAAAGTACATTTATTAAAATACCCGCAGCAATTTGTTACCTAATACTTTCCCTCCCCGCTTGTGTTATACAAACCTCTATTGCGCAAACTTGGTATAACCAATTTATCTTTGTAATATTACAATTACTAGTTCGTACCTGTTGCTTTGCCGTCCTGGGTATGACGATAAACTACGTCCAGCAGCAACCTCTGATCGGGAGGTTTGGAGGATTTTGGAAGCACCCCTTAACTGCTGCTTTTTCCAGGTTCACCCTAACCTGGGGTAGTAACACCCAGATATTTTTGTATGTGTATAAACTTTTTTGTAGATACGGATATTCATACACGACATTATCAGAAAATAAGAGCGATAACAACAGTAAATTTAAAGCCCAAATATGTAAAATTCAATAAAACATTAGATTACGGAAAATATATAAAAAGCACTCAAGTTAAAATTCAATTATTTTTTTTTTTACGGAAAAAAGCCCCCGTAGAACAATAGATAAACATCACTCTGTCACCAAGCTGTCAAAACAACAACAGCTTAAATAAACACTCACCTTTGTGTTAAAAAAAAACGCATTTCTGCTGTTTGGTTTGGTTTGTTTTACGGCATATCAACATCTCAATGGGTTATTTAATTCCGACAATATTTTTATTGCTGGTAATATTTTTATAATTTAACATAATATTATT